AGGAGGACCACTTGAGCCCAGGACTTCGAGCCTATCACCATGCCACACTGTATTCCAGCCTGGGTGACACAGTGAAACTCTGTCTCTAAAAAAAAAAAACAAACTACAGCCAACATACAGCCAACATCATACTTAAATGCTGAAAGCCTGAATAACTTCTCCCTAAGATCAGGAACAAGGCAATGTTCGTTATTCATTCTCACCGCTTCTATTTAATGCTTACTGGAGATCACACACACACACACACACACACACACACGCATGCACAGGATGGAACCTGCTTTACTAGGGAAATATTTAGCTATATTATACTTTAAGGCAAAAAAAAGACACTATCATTAGAGAAGGTCACCACAAGGTCATTTGATGAGGAACATACCAACTGTAAACTCACATTGATGCGATGTCTACATTTACAGTTAAAAAGAGTAGTTTTTCAGGGAAATACTGTTGTGCTGGTCACTCCTCTTATTATTTTTACTATTTTCCATCTGCATCATTTCCTTCTTTTACGCAGGTGGCCGAAATAATGTCGCTGGAACTCCACACCTACCCCACCAGGTCAGGATGAACTCTCTTACGTGTGGAGTTTAAAACAGGCTTCAAAGTCAAACGTTCAGAAAGGTGACCACTCCATGAATGAGCAAGATCACAGAGGCGTCACACTGATCACACACTTCCTTACTGGCTAAAAGCGCTCCTGTTTAAGAGAGCAAAGTTAAACGCCAAAAACAATGTGCAAAGGGTGCTGGCTCTGGAGAAGGCTGCCTGCAGTTAGCCTACTTAACAGACGTGCAGTTTAAAACGTTACTCCCTGACTTAGTTTCCTCATCTCTAGAATGGGAGATGGGTCAAGGAAAAGACAGTACCTACCTCGTCGGATTTCTGTGAGCAAATGATGATCCGCAGCAAGTGCACCCAGAATGCCTGACACATAGTAGGTGCTCTAAAAGTATTCAGCTTTTTGTGATTCGTTGGTTAAGGGAAATGCAAAAACTTTTTTTCATCTGAAATGACATTCCTCTAAAATGAAATTTAAATAACTGACAAACTGTGTCCTAAGCATTGGAATAAGATTAATAAAATCCTTTTAATGGGAGGAGGCAGATTTCCCAATTTGAATTTAAATCTTGAAGTTTTTAAATGGAATTTTTAGAAATATTGGAAAGTAAACATATTTGATACCTAATATTTAGCTTTACCTATGTTTCTGTATTTAATATTAATGAAAGAAAACATGTATGAGTCTGAATAAAATCTTAAGAGTCCTTATAAGTACAAAAAAAAATAAAATAAATAACTGACAAAGTATTTTAAAATATAAAAATCTGATGATATTATAAACATATACCCTTAAGTATTTATTATAATCGAGAAACTCATTTATAACAGGCACTCCCTTAAGAGCCTATGTGTGTGCCACTCCCCTAAAGAACACATAAAGATTAGTTTTACCCTTGAAAAGCTGTTTCTTATGGAGGAGATGAATCTATAAAATAGATACCTGTATTTTATAAATTTGGAAATACCTCAAAGAATGAAAAGCTCTTATAAATCACAAGCATAACCAATATAAAAAAAATCAAATATTACCTACATGAACATAATCACTATCCAATACTCAATATTTTTGATGATTGTGAAGTCCCATTAAGACACTAATGTCTCAGAATTATTAGAACCATCAACAAAACGCAGATTTGCAAGCATATATGTTAAAACCACGGCCTGAATAAGAAAACAAAACAAATATATTTCAAAACAGATTTTACTTTTTTAAAGACATCAGAGAGCAAATGTGCAGGTGACAGACACATCAATCCTACTTCTAGGAATCAACCCTGAAGGTATACCTCTAAGGATATAAAAACACATATAGACAAAAGTTATTCATTGCATCATCATCTGTAATTGCAAAACACTGGAAACCTAAATGCCCACACAGGGGCTGAATAAACTACGTTCTGCCCGCACCATGGAGCACTATTATCTCTGGAAAAAAAAAGAGCAAGGATGATCTCTACAGACTGACACACAAAGATTACAAGGACATACTACTGATTGAAAACAATTAAATTGCAACAAAGAATGTCATCCTTCATATAAGAAACAAAGACATAAAAGAAAAATGCACATGTATCTGCTATTTGTACAGAATAAATACAGAAAGGTTAAACCAGAAACTATAAACATGACTTATTTACAGTGGATAGGTGGGGATTTGTGCGAAAGAAACACAGAAAGGTTAACTGAGAAACTAGAGACTGGGTACCTACAGCAGGTAGGTGGGTGGGGAATGGGAATGGGAAAGGATGAAGGAGGAGGGAGTGATATTTCTGTATCTTTTTACGTAGCTCAGACTCTCAGCACCACATTCATGTTTCACAAGCCTTTTACATACCTCAAAAATAAACCATCAAAATCAGCCGGGATGTGGAGACAACCCACAATGGAATACAAACACGTACAGTATACACACACACACACACACACACACACACACACACACACGGGTAACAGATGAACCTACCTATGATAGAAATGAGTAACAAGCACAGTGAAGAGGCCAGGAAAAGAACTAAGTAACTAAGTAACTCAGAAAAAGTTTCCTGACTGGTAACATGAGGCAAAAGACAAAAAGACCTGCACATCAATCGTGTGATGTAGTGCCTAAGTGTGTTTTTTCTGAGGGAACAAATTAGCACTCTGAAGCCACCTTATGTGTGCACACTAGATTGAAAAACAGTAACTGCAAACATAGTAGACAAGGGCCAGGAGAAAGAACTTGGAGAAGGAAGCCACGAATAAAAAAAAAAAAAACATAGCCCCGGGCGCAGTGGCTCACGCCTGTAATCCTAGCACTCTGGGAGGCCAAGGCAGGAGGATCTCTTGAGGTCAGGAGTTTGAAACCAGCCTGAGCAAGAGAGTGAGACCCCATTTCTACTAAAAATAGAAAGAAATTAATTGGCCAACTAAAAATATATAGAAAAAATTAGCCGGGCATGGTGGCGCACACCTGTAGTCCTAGCTACTCGGGAGGCTGAGGCAGGAGGATCACCTGAGCCCAGGAGTTTGAGGTTGCTGTGAGCTAGGCTGACCCCACGGCACTCTAGCCCGGGGAACAGAGTCAGACTCTGTCTGGAAAAAAAAAAAGAAAAGAAAAGAAAAACAGAAATGAATCCTGTGGTGCTCACTTAGAATCAGATGTATCAGTATATAAATTCATGGTTTTTAATATACAGACACACAAGGTTAGTATATACACACACATCTCGTAGCTCTATATGCTGAAAAGGCCAAAAAGCAATGACACCCCTGTGGCAGTGAGTACATTTAAATGAGAAGTTGGTTTCTAAACACCACTCCCCAATTAAAGGCCAGTGGTGGTTTCCAGGGCTGGGACAGGAAAAACACAAGACGATCCTGTAGTATCCTGTGGTGTCAGAGAGTGCTCAGAAAAGGATGGGAACTTTTGAAAGAACTTAGGAGCCAACTCAAAGGTGTTCCTAGTGACCAGAGAGGTAGAATGATTTGAGCAACAAAATAATGATAGTAAGTATTGAATTTTAACCCACAGAATAAATATCCAAGAGTCCACACTGATATAAACAAACAAATAAATGGGGGGTGGGGGGGGTAGAAGCACAGCTTATTACAAAAGAATTCTAAGAAATAAATGTAGAAGGAAAAGGCAAAACAGAAAATCACCGTTAAGCAAACACCACACTCATAACTGCCTGCAGACAAAGTCCACCCATGAACGCAAAAATTAGTGGGCTTAATTTGAGGAGAAAAATATTTCCATCGTTTCAACGTAGCTCCCCTAAGATATTTATTAACTACAAAGGGAAAGGTGATAATTTTATAGCGGAGATACCTGGCAGACGCACCTGAGCCAAGTGACCAAGGTTAACATACCGAAATAAGGACCACTTGAAACAACATGCTAGAATGTGCCTCTTATATAGAAACACCCCACAAAATATCTGACCAGTACTCTTCAAGATTCTCAAAGTCATGAAAGACAAGAAAAAACTAAGGAACTGCCAGAGATTAAAGGAGACTAAGGAATAATCAATAACAAATAAAGGTAAGATGGGGTCATGGATAGGGTCCTGGAACAGAAAAATAAATTAGAGAGAAAGTTGGTCGAATAGGAGTAAGATCTGTAGTTTAGTTAACAGTACATCGCACGAATGTAAATTCCTTGGTTTTAGTAATTATAATATAGTTATACATTATAATATTAACAAATCCTGGATAAGGGGATGTGGTATCTCGGGGTGACGCTGGTACAGGGAAGACAACCCTTTGGTACTATTTTGTGCAATTTTTCTGTAAGACTAAAAATAAATCAATAAAATAGATCAAAATAATCTCTTGGTCTGCTGTTTTGATTTATGATGGTTTAAAACAGAACGCTAGGCCAGGTGCGGTGGCTCACACCTGTAATCGTAGCACTCTGGGAGGCTGAGGCCAGAGGATCGCTCAAGCTCAGGAGTTCGAGACCAGCCTGAGCAAGAACAAGACCCCATCTCTACTAAAAATAGAAATTAACTGGCCAACTAAAAATATATAGAAAAAATTAGCCGGGCATGGTGGCACATGCCTGTAGTCCCAACTACTCGGGAGGCTGAGGCAGGAGGATTGCCTGAGCCCAGGAGTCTGAGGTCGCTGTGAGCTAGGCTGACACCACAGCACTCTAGCCAGGACAACAGAGTGAGACTCTGTCTCAAAAAAAAAAAACAAAAAAAAACAGCGCTGAATATCTTCATTTTGTCCCACTGAAACTTGAGTTTAATACAAAAAAGTTGTCATTTTAATTTACAATCTAATACTTTGTTACAAGACTGAAGCTATGAAATGGTGCGATGCTATTTCATTTGGTCTTCAGCGAAACACACAAATACATATCAAACTCTTTGTTTCTACTACTACCTTATGCTAGGAAGATCTATTTGAAGGAACCAACAGACTACATAGACAGCAGGCTGAAAAGCAAGTTTATAAACACGAGAAATTATTTAATGACAATACTCTTGAAACTACATGTCTGTAATGAACACCACAATAGTCCTACAATAGTTCGTTTCTAGGAGAAAAAACAATTTAGAACAGAAACTGTAAATAGCAGTTTGAAACAGAAGTGTGTGTGTGTGTGTGTGTGTGTGTGTGTGTGTGTGTGTGTGTGTGTGTAACGTACTCGTATTTGGTTAGGTCTTTCGGAGTGGAGGGATGGTCTGAAAGAAAAACAGTTTTTAACTAGAAAAATATATGCAGAATTGATCAAAATTTACTGAAGAACAAACCCACATTTTTAGGCAATCTTTCAAAATCAGTCCTTCGTTCTGAATTAGCCATTAACTAGTATCCCCCCCCTTATCATTAAAATACATATTCATAAAACTTCTACAGTTATGCTGTTCTAGTTACAAATAGGTTCTACTTTTCTAGGACATAATTTCACTTTGTTTAAGCAGGAATTCATTAAAGCAGCTATAAATAACCTTTAAATATTTAGCCATGAATAGAGGGTGGACTGGCACCGATGGCTTATTTTAGTACTAATGCAGGATGCTGTCTGAAAGCCACATTTGAGAATGCATCAAAGCCGAATGATTAACTTGCAGTGTAATTTTCAATGTTAGAACAAATTTCTCTTTATTCTAAGGAGTTTTGCCAAAAGTAAATATGTCATTTCAGTTATTTACTAGTAGGAAAATAAAGAATAAAAATGTTGAGAAGATTAGAACATAAGACATTTTTATTTAAGAAATCTATTTTTTAGCATCTAGACAACCTTTCCTTCTCTCCCAGAACTTCATCCCAGTGAAAACCACACACACATACCGAGGGAGAGGCGGTACCCACCTACGGAGCCATAAGAGGGTTTGTCAGGAAGTGCAGGCAGCACATAAGAATCAAGGACACATCTACACTCTGAATCATAAAGTTCACAACATTTTGGAGACCAAGTTTCGTAAAGTCTTTACTTGAAAAAAAAAAAAATGTTTTACAAAATATCAGACTTCCAACCAAAGAAACTTTCCCATAGGGTCCACGTAGCTTTCTGCCTTAAAGATTACAGTAGGACATTTAGAGGGGAGAGGTTTTTTTTTAAAATAGCCACCTAGCTGCAAAAACCTACAAGAGAAGGAGATTTTATTTTAAAGTGCCTTTAAAATGTGAAAGCAATATAATTGTTGGAACTGTTTGAAATTTTAAAATTTTCTTTAAAATGGTCCGTATGGTAGGCACAACATTACAGCTGGTACAGAACTGCCTGTTTCGTCTGAAACACAAAAACAATGCATATGAACAGTACTTTCTGAAAAGTAACTCAAAACGCTGCTACTGCATGATAAGGCAGACTTAGACAAGAATGTGGACCGTGTTCAGAGAATTAACAGAACAAGCTGAATATTGAAGTATTCAAACATTTACTTTGATTTTTTAAATAAAACAGATAAGGGCAGAAGAACTTGTTGCCAAACTAACTCAGGAAGCCTCACTTCCAACAACACGTAACATGTTCTGCCACGTGTGCTCTCAACAAATGCACCGCTGTGTTTTAGGGTGTGAATTCCCATTTCCCAGGCAGGGCCTAGTTTTTCTGCTGCAGTCTGGCAGCTTTGAACTTTGAAACCCTCTTTGCGGTTTCTTCTGATGCCTCAGACAGAACTTCTCTCCGTTCTGGAATGGTGGGGAGGGCGGGGAGCGCGATGGCCGGGTGGGGCGCTAAGGTGGGCGATAAAAACTCTTTCTCTATCACAGTTCCGGAGAAAGCCTGGAAGACAAAAGTCAGGTTACGATAATAAGATGCAAATACGATGCCCACAGAATTTTTATTCTCTACTCACAAATTAAGAGACATTTCTTTTCATTAAAAGCAAATTCACAAGATTTGGGGCTAGACAATACTTCGGCATCAAAATACTAATTGTTTAGAGAAATCAAGTACCATTGAGATTTTTTTCTTAGTTACACTACAAAATGTAAGTGATTTCTTTTTTTTTTTTTTTTTCTGAGACAGAGTCTCACTTTGTTGCCCGGGATAGAGTAAGTGCCATCGCACTGGGCTCAAGCGATCCTCCTGCCTCAGCCTCCCGAGTAGCTGGGACTACAGGCATGCGCCACCATGCCCGGCTAATTTCTTCTATATATTTTTAATTGGCCAATTAATTTATTTCTGTTTATAGTAGAGACGGGGTCTCGCTCAGGCTGGTTTCAAACTCCTGACCTTAAGCGATCCTCCCGCCTCGGCCTCCCGGAGTGCTAGGATGACAGGCGTGAGCCACCACACCTGGCCTGTAAGTAATTTTTATAGTGCACATGCAAGAAAACAAAATGTAGAATGTGTCTTATATCAGAAAAAACAAAAACGGATAAATAAAAGGTCCTCAAACCTTCGCACAATCATGTGCAGCCCACGCTGTGAAAAACGGCATAATAAAGAATGCCACCAGGGTGTCAGACTTGGACTTCTGCACGACAGCTGACGAATGAGCTATCCCATGGTGGCCACACTGGCTGCTGGCCAACAGCGTCACCCGTATTGGCATCTCTTCGGTAGTGCTCGCTTTTGCAATTATTTGAATATTTTATTGCATCTTGACCCAACTGTATTTAAGATATCAGTGGAAACTGAAAAACGAAAAGTGCTAATACTAGGGGGAATAAGTATAGGTTTCAAAATTTTAATACGATTAATTCAATGATGGAAGGAGAAGTTCTAAGAAAACATGACTCTTTAATTCCAACTGGATGTTTGATGCACTTAAACACTGGTCAACAATATGTTCCACTGGAACAAAATTAAATAATAATGTGTATTATTGGCTGGAAATATCTTTATGTGTCTTTATATATCTTCTTATATAAAAACCAAGTTACTGTTATATTTTTTAAGACTTCTAGTATTTGGAACCTCCCCCTCACATCTTCTAGGAACTCATTATGCACAAGCTAACGTTTGGCATGTAAACTTTCATGTACATTTTGTTTCTCTGTCTCCCAAGTGCTCAAAATTAGTTAAGACGACGTACACCTGAATAGTCTAAAAAGCCACCCTCTTCCACCTTGCCCCACCACTGAAATAAAAACAAAGAGTGATATCTCCCTCCCACAGTATTTTTGGAGTGCAGTTATTAAGAGAAACTTAAAGTTTACTTTTGAAAAACTCTACTTTATCATGATGAGCACAGAGCCTTCTTTTATTTAAAATGCTTTTGAAGATATTTTAGCATTTAAAAAGATATTGAAAAGAAGATTTTTCCAAGTATTTGCCATAATCATGAATTATTTCTTTGATGTTAAAAAATTTATAGCATCTACTATAACAGTTCAATACAAAATGCAAAGCTAATAAGGGTGAGATGAAAATAAGTTGCACACACTAGCTATACCATGATAGCTAGTGTGTCCTTACACTAAGTCCTTACAAAAAACTGATTTTCAAGTATTTATCGACACAAGTCTACATCCATTATCTATCTGTTTTCTAACAGTATGGAAGACTATTAAATAAGGTAAGTTACCTTCCAGGTCACCCAAGATCATTACACTGGAGGGAGAGGACATTTTAATTACATGCACAGTCCCTAAATGCCAATATCTCCCTCCCTCTCCAATTACCATTTAGTACAATCAGTACCACTCAGTACAAGCAGTGGAATTTTACATATGCTCATTTATATATAAACATATTTTATATGTGTACACTGTATTGCATATACCAATGTGTATATGGGTTTAATACAGGTATGAGTTCTTCTTGAATACTTTTTGATCTTCTTGAACACTTTTTAAATTGAAAACTTCAAATACCCACCAAAGCACAAGAATTAAAAACTCAAGTCTAGCGGCAGGTGCGGTGGCTCACACGTGTAATCCTAGCACTGTGGGAGGCCGAGGCGGGAGGACTGCTTGAGTTCAGGAGATCGAGACCAGCCTGAGCAAGGGCGAGACCCCATCTCTACTATAAATCAAAAAAATTAGCCAAACAACTAAAAATAGAAAAAATTAGCCGGGCACAGTGGCACACGCCTGTAGTCCCAGCTACTCGGGAGGCTGAGGCAGGAGGATCACTTGAGCGCAGGAGTTTGAGGTTGCTGTGAGCCAGGCTGACGCCACAGCACTGTAGCCCAGGCAACAGAGTAAGACTCTGTCTCAAAAAAAAAAAAAAAACTCAAGTCTGGACATAATGGAACCATAACCATATGTTTCGTAGACAGGAATTCTGACTCTTATTCTGGGATTGCCCAAACGGCACACTACATGGTGGGTGACAGCGTGTGTGCACTGATTTTTCTGGAGACAGGGTCTACAGCTTCCATCAGATTATAAAATGATTCCATAATCCCCCAAGAGTTAACCAAAACACAGAAGAACTTCAGATAAGCATCCGCCATGTATATACATTTCTCTTTAACTCAGCATGGTATTTAGGAGAAAGCAGTATAATCTCCAACTAAAAACTGTCAGAAAATGACTATAGTCGGGTGCAATGGGAGTTTATTTAAAACAAACCACTAAATAAATTTTTTAGCCAAAAATAGAACACATGTGCCAATTAAGAAATCTTAAAATTTCCATTCCACAGAAATAGAACTTCAAGACAGGTAATGCACTTACCAAAAAAATTTCTTTGAACAGCTTGAATATCACGATACCTATAAGCTTTTCACATTATTTTTTAACAAGTGATCATCAAGAAAGTACTAACCTAGGCCGGGTGCGGTGGCTCACGCCTGTAATCCTAGCTCTCTGGGAGGCCGAGGCGGGCGGATCGCTCGAGGTCGGGAGTTCGAAACCAGCCTGAGCAAGAGCGAGACCCCATCTCTACTATAAATAGAAAGAAACTAATTGGCCAACTAATACATATAGAAAAAATTAGCCGGGCGTGGTGGTGCATGCCTGTAGTCCCAGCTACTTGGGAGGCTGAGGCAGAAGGATTGCTTGAGCCCAGGAGTTTGAGGTTGCTGTGAGCGAGGCTGACGCCACGGCACTCACTCTAGCCTGTGCAACAAAGCAAGACTCTGTCTCAAAAAAAAAAAAAAAAGTACTAACCTAGAATTAAATCCTGCAATCTTTCAGATTACACGGCAAAAACTGGCGAAAACGCTCCGCAGGCAGGTGAATGACCGGAGGCGCACACTCACCTCGCGCGCCCCGGGTGGGGGCAGCAGCCTCTTCTGGGGGCCGCCCCGCTGCGCCTGCTCCTCCAGAGCGCCCTCCCCCGCGTCGCTGCCGGCCGCGTCCTCGCCGGGGAGGCTCCGGGGCGGGCGCCGCTCCTCCGGCTCGGCGGCGCTGCCCTCGCTGGTGTCGCTGCACACGCTGCTCTCCCTGCTCCGCGCCTTCAGGATGGACTTGCGGGGCACGTACTCTCCGTTCACCAGGTCCACGAAGACTCTGCCGTGCCAGGACAGCACACGCTCGATTTAGGGGGCTTGTAAAACTGACAACAGCTACAAAGGTGTCTTTGGATCTTTTCTAGAAAATAATCTGAATTTTTTACCGAAACTTTGTATCTAAAATTTTCGCATTCACAATGATTTACAGCCTCAAATGGCACCTCTTGTACTATATTTTGAAAGACGTGGCTTCTTTTGCCAGCTAAAATGCAGCAAGTTATTTTTAAGCATGTTCTAGGTGACAGCAGCTTGATTTGCCAAAATTCTCTGTGGAGTTTTAGATCCACTTAGAAGACATTTAGCCATTTTCACTGTTTTATAAATATGGGTCATGAAAACAGTAGGTATTTTCAAATGACAGCCTTCCCAACAAACAATGCAATGAAAAAACCTGAAATAGTATAATTAATTTTTACTCTGAAAAGGCAAGCTGCATGCCCAGCATCATAGCTACGCTAGGAAAGTCCTGCCCTGGCGAATTAGAAACACGGACTTTAATTTCTAAAGTTAAGACCCAAGATTTCCTGACTAGACCAAACTGGGAATGTCTCCACAGCACTCACTGGCAAAGGGGGGAGAGAGGAAAAACACACAACCGTCCACCTGCTTTGGCCTGGGAAGCTGCGGCAGCTGGCCTTTCAACACGAGCTAACGTCGTCAGTTTAACACTGCCCCTTCCAGAGAGCCTTGTGTGTTACCAGCACTCTTTCCCGCAAGGTTCCACTGCAAGAGGAGGAAAGCGGCTGCCCCGCACCTGTGGGCGCCACCCACCTGTAAATGTCAGCTGGAGTCCTGATGGCGGGCAGCTCCTGGGCCGAGTGGCCACCCGAGCTGCTCTTCCGCTTGCGTTTGGCTTCCTCTTTCTTTTCGCTGAATTTTAAAGTGGTGTTTTTTCCAGTATTTATTCGGACCTACAAATTTCACAGCAAAGAGTTAAGAACCTTCTGAGAAGTTAGACAGAGGCTGAAACTAAAAAAATAAACTCTATAATCAAAGGAATAACAGAGAGGCAGCTGCAATTTTTTGATGCTGAAATGATGTGCATTATCAGGTTGGGTAAAAAAAAATAAAATAAAACCTTACCTTTTATTTCTATGACATTAAATAAAATCTTCTTTAATGACTAACTGTAGTCTTCAGTGTCTTTATTATTATATAGAAAGCAAAATACACTTAAACTAAATGCTAGATTTATTATAAGCTTCATATTATTACCCCATTACTTTGATACAAGTTTTTGGCTTAAATCGTGCATTCCAAAACAAAGCACAGTTAACCAAAATGATTAACTATTAAGAATTTTTTAAATGCCTCTGATTTCTAGAAATTGAAGGACTATAAAATAAAGGCAAATCCTGTTCAGGATTAACATGTTATCCTCTATCCCTACTCAGCATTTATGCCATACTTTCCACATTAATGACTGTTCTTCCCCGTAACATTCCTGCAAATAGTATTTATTCTTCCTGTTTTATCTAAATGAAAATAAGAAAAAATTAAAAGCCTGAAAAAAGAATCAAAGAACATAGTCTTTTTCTAATTATCTCAGTCAACTTTTTCCACAGAATTTAGAAGATTATCTCTTTAGTTTGACATACTGGAATAAAAAAAAAAAACATGTAATTATTTCACTTTATATTAATATTACAGCGAGAATAACTTAAGGAATCTACAAAATACCAAATATGTTTTAAACATGTCTCACTGAACAGTAATCACATAAACTTGAGACTGAAACCACAGATCCTTAACTCTGACGCAGGCATCAAATTTTAAATCGGGATGAGCACGCGACCGAGACAGAGCAGTCCTTGTTCTATGACTATCCAGCTCCGTGTCTCCTCAGCCTAAGCTGAGAAGGGTGAGTTGGAAAGATGGTTCCCGAGGTCTCTGCAGAGCAGCGCGGGGAGCAGAGAGAGGGCAAGGTGGGCTACGGCAGCCTCTCCCTCCGTCAGCCGGAGCACACCTGCTGGGATCTGCTTTAAATACCGGGACTCTACAGTAGGGTGGAGGGAACAAAAGGTTGCTGACACTCAAGAAAAGCTTGAAAACTCTGTATCAGAAAATCTCTGCCATCCCAACTTGAAAATGCCACAGTTCTCAAGTTGTGATTATCCACAGGTATTTATATTTACTCTGTCAGAAATGGAACTAATTTTTATTTCCTCTTAAGATTCCCATTTTGCTCATGATGTTCTTATTCATTTAATGCCCACATGGAAAACAACCACCTGGTACAATAAAAAATTGAACTAAGATAGTCACTTTCAACACCCTATACACACCAAAATGTCTCTACAATATAATTAACCTCAGGATTCTTAAGAAAACTCTCTGGATGAAGGACAGGTGAAGTGACAGTAGCTGCCACTCAACCTGGTCACCTCCCAAACGCCAACCACCACACAGGTTCAGAGAACAATGGACCCAAACCAGCAAACTAGATCTTTTTTTTTTCTTCTAGATAAAAAAGATTGGTCAGGACAAAAGGTAAAAGATGATCTTCCTCTTTGGCACTATAGTAACATTATTCACTGTTAATATTACTCTTTTAGAGAATATCATAGGTAGTTTAAAAGAGACTTAATGTTAAAATTATTAACACATACAAAATTAGTGAAGTGAAAAGCATACGAACCCTCTTAGGCTCGACAGTGTGCGAAAAGTATATTGTTGGTATAGAGTCGTCTCCGAGCCCTGAAGCGTCATGGTCACCGTCACCATTGTGGTCGTCGTCGTCGTCATCATCATCATCATCGTCACTGTGATAAGAATCTGAGCCATTCACTGAACAGTTCGACTGACTATCCGTGTGACCATTGAACAGTTCTGAACTTGTCACGCCCTCGTGACAACTGCCGGGAGCGAGCGGGGCTGTCACTCGATGAGTCACTCCCCCATGTGTGCTTCCACCGTCCTTCTCCTCCTCAGAGGAGGCTGCGTCCTCTCCGTTGGCAATCACGGGGTCAGGCTTGCTGGTGAAGAGAAGGAAAATTAACAAGATCTAACTCATGCTCTAGAGTGCCACATACGTTCATCTTCAGTTCATTTCAACGAGTAAAAATTAAAATTTTGAATAAGGTACTCTTTAAACTAGAATTCTAGGTTAAAGAAGAAAAAATGTGGAAACAAATTTTAAAAAAATTAGTTCCTATGCCATTTCTGTATACTGCAGTTATTCAAACATAAATAGAATAAAGATGATAAGAATTTTATCTTTGCAGGGAAGCTACCATATATTAATACAATATAAATACAGCATCAATAATATAATAAAAAATCTGTCAGAAATTCGGAATATGTTATTTCTATTTAAAGACCAGAAATCAAAACCACAGAACTATAATATGCTCTTATTTTCTATTTCTATACTCAGAATACTTTAAGTATTATAATTTTTAAAAATAAAGGATTTTTGAATATGAATATACTTATATTTATAACACAAATGCACATTTATCACGCTTCATTCTATAAAAGATTTGAGGACCTTACAAAAATAACAAAACAAAAAATGCAATAGGACTGAAATAACATCATACAAAAATAGAAAGAGAATCATGACCAAGAAAAATCACAATATTCAAAACTGGTTTTAAAAAATGAAATACTATCAGTTAATCAAAAAGACCTAAGAATTTATAGGTGAAATGAAAGGGAAAAAAACCTTTTGTGCTCTGTCCTATTTTTCACAGAAACTAATTACCGCATAGGGTACATAATTTAAGCAAAATAATATAGGAACTTCTATAGTAGCAGACTTCATTTAGCACTTTAACAATTCCAAGTGTGTGCTAACGTGGATTTCCGTTTGGTAAAGTTTCTCATACATATTAACCATCTGACCAGATTACATATTGCCTGCTCAATAAATAGAAAAGTTTGCAAAAGGAGAGCAAATATAAACATTTTACAGTATCAAACTTAAATTCAAAGCGATTTTTTTCTTTTTAACAAGGTATTCAAAGAGCCTTACCCTCAGTGTAATACAAAAATACTTCATTTAAAATTTAATACACAAAGCATTCATAACTATTAAAAGTCATGTGGTATCATTATTATATAAAATATGGCTGAAATTTTATAATAAAAAATGAAGATGTTGATCTTAAGTACTTATGTACTTGCACAAACACAGTCCTAAAAAAATACTCTTGCAGTGGAAGGATCATTGATAATTTAATACATTATGCCTTTCTCTGTTTTCTTCAACGAGCAGACATTATTCTATTAACGAGGAAGAGCATTAATGAAGGAATGCGTATAGAAACAAGCTCTGTTAGAAGGACAGTCTGCTGTGAGGTACCTGTCAAGTTCACCCAGCAGCTCTTCCTGTCTCTCCAGCTCTTCGAGCCGAGCCCACAGCTCCGTATCAGCAGGCCAATCTTTGGATTTCACATCGTTTTCAAAATCTGCTTCAAAAGTATCTGAAGTTTTTGGTTTGGAATGAGGTTTATGAGCAATTCGGTGTTTTGCTATGTAACAAAAAGGAATGACATGGTTGTTGGCACCTGGCATTGAAAGGCACAAACCCAGACTTGGCAAGACCTTCTTGTGGGGCAAAGGGGATGTTGAGGCAGAGGGGATG